ATTCATAGACACTTTGATGTTGCATTCTGATGGAATTAGAGCTTTCAAGTAGAATTTCGGGTGGAGTCTGGAGTGATTCTGGGCCGAATCTGGACTGATTCTGGGCTGGTCAAAGCAACACACTTCAGTAATTATGAATTAAAATATGCCACATAGTAAAAGAGACCTTCAGAGGGGAGGGACCAGGATGCAGGGCAGATACTAAAACCTGGGTCATCACACAGTGCTCTGTGGGAGCAGCTCATACCGACTCAGGAGAGCCAATGGTGCCCACCTCTTACCAACTTCACATTCTACGACATCACACGGTTGGAGTATATATACTACAGAAATTGGCAAACTCTACCAGTCTGTACTTTTTTTTTTCCCCTCAGAGAGCCTATTAAAATTTACCAGCACATCACCGCTCATAAGTAAGTTGACTAAATGTCTCAGCAGTCCTGGTTGACAGGCCTAGTGACTCGTCGTTTTAGCATTTGTCCCTTCCTTTTACACTTTCAAAGGTGACAACTTAAATGATCACTATGCAGATCAGCAATAATTGGAGGCTTTGGAGATTTTTCACTCCAAGAGGTGAAGACTGAATTAGAAAGAAGCAACTATAAGATTCTTATCTCATATTGTCTGAAGAACTTGCCCTTGGAAGTGGTACAAGGCTTGTTTTTCTGAGGCACAGCATGAGGACCGGAAAGTCTTGGGAAAGCTACAGGGAGACACATTTTTATCTGAGCTCAAGGAAGGACTTCCTCATTGGCAGCAATGAATCATCATAAAACAGGAACAGAAAATGTGTGGGCTCAGTGAGGTCCCTGTCAATGAAAATGGCCTGAGACTGAAGGCCAACTTGAGGGGATTTGGAAGGACTCAAGCAATGATTTCTTTTTGCGTCAATGCCTTCTCGAAGATTCATATTTTGAGTTGAATCCTCCTGACAGTATTTGACGCAGGCATTTTGGCAGTTCTCAGGGGGTCTTTGCTGGCTAACGTGTATGTTTGTAGCTGATACAACAACCAGCTGGAAAAATAATTCTTTCAAATTCAGAAAAAAAAATGACCCAAACAGAAACCTTATTAAACCTCATGTTCAGTTTTCTAAAAAAATGAATTATTATTGCTAATTTGAGAGTAAGTACATGCTAACCAGCTTACACCGATTTATTTCTGATTCCAAAACTGTTAGGAGGCTTTACTTTAGCACAGTTTGGCCAAAGAGAAGAAAGTAAGTCAATGGGTTTCATGTAATTTTAGGATCATAAGTAGTGGGAGAGGAACACACTCTTTAGCATCAAGGACTTCAAGCACTTTGTATCCTATGGTAGCAAGAGTGAGAATAACAGGAAGCCCTCCGGCGAGCAAAAGTGGCACCTGTGAAAAGTGTTTGGGTCTATCTGAAGGCATGGTTGCAGCAGGGGCTGAGGCTGTAGGAAACAGCCTACCGTTGCCCACTGAGTATGGAAAGCCCATTTAAAATAAACCATTCTGTCCTTTACCTACGGTCTATAATGGATCACATAAAAGTCAGACTTTTTCTTCCCTATTTCAGATGTCCTTACTGAATCAGTCAGTTAGATCATCATATGGATTATCGTGATTATCATTAGTTTGCAGCTCCAGCATGGTTTTCTCCAAGACCAAAGCCTCTCATTTGCACGTCTTTAAGCTTCCCTATAACTTCTCTGCCCATTCCTTCAGCCATGCAGCTTCCTCCAAAGCTTTCCATATTTTATTTGATTTGTCATCAGCCGGAAACGTGCACTCATCCACCAACCCACATGCCTCTCTCTTCATACGTCCCCAATCGGGCTGTTAGGTAACAACATAGCGATGCAGATATTATTGTCTGATACTTTTAAAGTGCATTACAAATATTAACTTATTTACATCTCCTGAGAGCTACACGAAATAGATATGTTTGTTATCTTTCATTTACAGATGAGGGTACTGAGGCACAGAGTGCCTAACAAAGTAGCTAGAGAGAGTTTCTAATCAGCAGTGTTCCAAATCTCAGCTCTGATCAGTATGTTGCCTCTTACTTTAAAGGTAACAAATTGAACCAATCTTAGTATGATTTTCTGTAAACCAATGTTAGCACTCATTCTTCTGTGAAAATGTGTTTTATTCCTACCCATTTTCCTGAAGTCCGCCTTTCTTCTTGTGAACATGTATTTTCACAAGTGTTGCGTCAGACCCTTATTAAAGTCGGTGTTAAAAAACACTGCATCCTTTCATACACATTTTATGTATGTACCTTCTCCTTAAAGCATTCACATCTATTGTGAAAGAAATGACAATCACATGTTTTTTTGAGTGCATATTCTCTTAGAGATTCCATTAACTAAGAGTAAAACTCATCTACCCGGTTCTTTGAGTCTAAGACAGTGATTCTCACTCAACCCAGAGGTGGTTCCCCCCCACCCCAGGGGACATCTGACAATGTCTAGACACATTATTAACTGTCACACTGGGCGTTGGAGTCATATTGGCATCTAGTGGACACAGTTTAGGAATGTTGCTAAACACACTGTAAGCGCGGAACATCCTCCCACAACAAAGAATTACCTGGCTCAAATGTCAAGGCTGAGAAACCCAGTTCCAGGGTATGCTACACATTTAAAATAATTCTGTTGAGGAAAGTCTATGACCCTCTTCAACAGTATTATATAAAGCTATATAAAAACTATATGCATATAAAATTAAATCTATTATTAACCTATTAGTCCGTCAGTTTAAGTAGACTCAATTTATATGTCTTATATTTTCTCTTCTCTTCTCAGAAGCTTGAATAGTTTATAAAGGACACAGTTTCATAATTTAGCCTTAAAACAAATGTGACTCTTACGGAAAATTGTTCTAATAGCAGATTTCTTGTTACTCATCCATTAATTTTTTTTAAGTTTTTATTTAAATTCCAGTTAGTTAACATACAGTGTAATATTAGTTTCAGGTGGACAATATAGTGATTCAGCGCTTCCATACATCACCCTGTACTCATCAGGACTAGAGCCCCCCCCTTCATCCCCATCACTTATTTAACCCACTCCCCACGCACCTCCCCTCGGGTAACCATTACTTTGTTCTAGTCTGTTTCTTGGTTGGCCCTTCTCTCTCTCTTTTCACCCTATCCTCATTGTCCCTTAAATTCCACATATGACTGAAATCATATGGTATTTCTCTTTCTCTGATTTGTTTAGCTTAGCATTCTACTCTCTAGCTCTGTCCATGTCATTGCACATGGCAAGATTTCATCCTTTTTTATGGCTGAGTAATATTCCATCATGTACCACATCATCTTAAAAGAATGCATTAATTTTTTTTAAAGAATAAAGTATGAAGCATAAACTGTATACCAAGCGATGTCCTAGGTGAGCAAGTAGGATTAAACTACGATAAGCTGTAGATCAATGTTAGGATTATTTTGGTTAATGTTCACTGAATAGTTATTAATGTGGGGCTTATGTTTCCTGCGGTTTATTTATATCATTTTACACCATTATAAAAGCAGTTTTTATTTCAGATGAAATTAAGCAAAGTATTTTACAGAATGTAGGAAAAAATAAGAAAGAAAATATTGACAGAAAACACCTGATTAAATTATTTGCTTTTCATCCAGTTAGGTGGAATTGGTGGTTAGTATTACATCATGCACAAAGCAGACCCAGTTACTGATCCAATAATAGTATTCTCTTCTCTCCCTATGGTTTTGTAATGAAACTCTGAGATCAAACAGGTTGGACACCTTCTTCAAGTCTCCTCAAAATACTTAACTTATAATGGAAATGACACACAGGACTAATGGTAGGACATTTCCTTTATTAAAAAGCCAATAAGTTGGCAACATCTTATTATAACTAACATCTCCCATATTCCAAGAGAAAATAGAAACTCCTCCTGAAAAATAAATCCCCCCTACCCTCCTTCCTATCCATCACAGCATTTTTCTACTCCAGATGGGATACATACAAGTCTCCACTTCCTCCTGTCCTGTTTCCACTTGTTCCCAGTCTAATCAAGCGTTTGGCTCCAGAATGCTAGTGAGACGTCTTTCGTCAGAGTCACCAGTGACATCACATTGCTACATCCAATGGTCAACTTTTTTTTTTTTTTTTTTTTTTTTTGAGAAAGAGTGAGTAGGGGAGAAGGAAAGGGGTAGAGAGAGGAAAAATCTTAAGCAGGCTGCATGCTCAGCACAGAGCCCAATGTAGGGCTCCATCACACGACCCTGGGATCATGACCTGAGCTGAAATCAAGAGTCAGATGCTCAATTGGCTAAGCCACTCAGGCACCCCACTAAGGGTCAACTCTTAGTTCTCATTCTCACCATCATTAATCTCTGACACAGATAATTGATTCCCTTGTTCTTATTACATTGTCTTCACGTCAGACCACCTCTCAAGGTTTCCTTTTACTTCAAACAGTTCACCTTCTCAGTCTCCTTTGTATGATCTTCTTAATTTTCCCAACTTCAATTCGGAGAGGCTGCCCCAGAGCTTAATCACTGGAACCCCTTTCTTTTCTAACTATTCTCACCTCTTGTCCGGTCTCACCCATGTTCACGGCTATATACGTACTGGTAACTTCCAATCTTAGATCTCCATTCTGGATGTCTCCCCTCAACTCCAGAGTAATGTATTGTCTACCCGCCATTTTCATTTGGTTGCCAGAGAGCATCTCCAATTACCACAAGAAAACCTCAACTTCAAAATTCCTTCTCTCTCAGTTCCATCGTCTCCGGAAACAGCACCAGTATTCACTCGATTTCTTGTAAATGTCCGCATTTTCATGACTAGCTCGTTCCAAATTATAAGACTTCTCTATAGGCAAAAATGGACATTGAGTAAGAAGTGTATTCCCTCCCTTATCCTAGACGTATAAGAAGCAAACCAACATGCCAGAAAACAAAACAGGTTGCTCAGAAAAAGATTTACACTTTGTCCTTGGAACCACTACTGAGGATGTCAGTGGTCTTCTAGGGGCACACACTTCCTTGGAACCCAAATGAAATGATGTTGGGCAAGAGGCTGTTTGCTTTAGGTGTAGGATTACATAGACAGGGGGTGTGTTTGCACAGAAAAATTTTTACTGCGACGAGAGAACACCTACACCCACAAAGAACACCCTTGGAAGAAGCTATAAGAGTCCTGGAGGTGATAGTGAGAGAAAATCCAGCCTTCGGTTTAGGGGCAATCTCGGGCCATTTTGCGATTTGGGGGAGATCCTTGCTGTTGAACCAGCTCACAAAGGTCTGATCAAAAGACAAAGATGTAGATGGGCAGCGGAGGAAGGGTATTTCTTCTTGATCCTTGTTTTCTGTAAGCCACCATTGGCAAGACTGTCTACTACGTGTAGGCATGGGAACCGGTTAAAGAAAGTGTCGATTCACTAGAGTGAGCTGAGAACTCGCTGGCCTTTGTGTGTGGTGAATGTGTCCGGAAAGGCAAAAAAGAGCGAGATTCTCCTGTGGGGTTTCTCATCTCCATGGCGGTAGGTGCTGACGGCTCCAGAGAGAGCAGGAAGGAGCAAAGAGAAGCGAGCCTGAGATGGGTAGCTGCACTGCTCTCAGGAGATGAAAAGGACACCGGGTTTGGGTCTGACCTTCATTATCTGTAACTGAGGTAAGACCATCGGGTGGGTGGCAGAGTGACCTAAGCCTCAACTGACTGCTTGCCTGATCTTGAGTTGCTTCTTTTTTGCGTGTGTGTCTGCTAATAGGTGCCTTTAGGAGGTTTCTTTGGACTCTTTTTTGCTGTATGTTCCATGGCTGGGAATCGTCTTTTTTCTTTTCTTTTTTCTCCCGTATGATCTCTGGGGAGTGCTGCACCAAACAGATTAAGAATGTGAGGACCATTTATAGATCAGTTAAGGGAAGTAACATTCAGAGAGAGAGAGACTAAAAGCGTGATGACTTAGCCAGCTGAACATTACTTATTGACGTGGGACAAAGTGGAAAACTATGAGTCTTTAATTTCCTGTGGAAACAGTCATTCATAAAACCATCTCTTCTGTATGTCTTTGTCACTCTACCACCGTTCCAAAGTGACAACGAAGTGGCCTGGAGAATTTGAAACTGTGTGTTAAAATATGCTGTCTTTGATTTGTAATTCATTGTGTCCTTACACCTAAAAATACGTAGATGGAAATGCTGGAAAGACTCATTAGAAAAAAAAAAAAAAAGCTGCAAACAAGTTAACTCTGATAAAGAATAAGCTTCTCAAACAGTGAAGTCTGATGAGGTATAAAAGGCCTGGGTTTTCTAACTTTTACTGTTTTTCTACTACTCATTGTTGTCTTACGATTTGCAATCTGGACCGTTGGTGTGGAGTAAATAACATCTGTTACATTCCATGCCTTCGGCTTTCCGTGTCACTGGTGGAAGGAACAGAGGCTGAGATAATGCGGTTTGTCTACCTGGAAGTTCTAAGCCTGCAGAGATGCAGGGCCATGGGTTTAAACATAAATATATCTTATTGATGAAACTCCTTAAGCTTTTCTTTTAAAAGCCTTTTCCTCTGCCCCTTCTTTGATTTGTGTTTCTGAGGCTTGGCATAATTCTGAGCATTCCGAGGGAGCTGGGGACGATATCCCCGGAGGTTCTGAAAGCCCATAATCCTGAAGGTAGAGCCCAAACTGGCTGCTTAGCAGAAGTGTGACCCTCCCAATCTACTTAGCTTCTCTCTGCCTCCTTTTCAGAAGCCTTTAATAATGTGTGTCTGTCAGATATCACTGAATCTCATTTGATATGCCATCTGGCACATAAGGAGCGCATACTGCGTGGAGACCATGGTTTCTAGCTCCGTGTTGGGGAGGAGGGAAACTGATGCAAATGCGATAGTGGGTTAATAGCTAAGCTCAGCATAGCATCTCAAATGGCTCCACTCCAACAAACATAGTTCTTGTTCTCAGCCTTGAGAAAACCCCAGCCAATTGCAGCTTTGTAATGAGGAAGGCAGACTACTGTTGCAATATTGGAGGTAGTCCGGGCAATCTTCACCAGCCTCGACCTGCTTCTGACATGGTTTTCTCACCAGCAATATGGAACCTTTTGGCTCTCAGACATCTGCATTCCATCCCCGGGCCTCACCTCTCTGATGAGCCCAATCTCTGCAGGGCAGCTAGGCAGGGGAGGTCAAGGAAGATATGTGGGGCTGGCGTGGGGGGCAATGGGGGGGGCAACAAGAGAGAGATGGGGCCAGGACATTCTTTTGTGTATACATAGTTTAATAAAGGCGAATCAATATTTCACATGTCGATCTCTTAAAATCAAAACATCTGCCTCTCTCAACGTCACAGTGGCTGCTTCTAATCAGCCGAGGCAAAGCTCCTAGTCTGTCCAAGTGATAAGCTTCAGGTGAAAACTGCTGGCATTTATAGGACGCCTACTGTTTTACAATGCTATCTGATTTCATTCTCTTAATCACCCTTTTTAAAGCGACGGGGATCAAAGAGGTAAAATCACTGCTCTTAATTTAGCTAGGTACATGAGATGAGATTCAAAGAGAAATCAGTCTGACTCCACAACTCAAATCTAAATGATTAAGGCAAAGACGCTATTTTGTTTGCATTATATGAGTAATATATCTAGAATGATAGGTTATGATAAGAACCTGATAAGGTCCTTCTGAGACCAGACCATCAAAACCCGAATTTGATTCACCTACAAGAGATGGTCTGCCCAACCTCACAGTGGGACTAAGGGGCACCCTGGAACACAAGAGTAAATTGATCCAGGAGCAACTCTGGCCCTTGGAAACTTCCCTGTCAGCTGTTAACCTGGGTTTTCTCTAAATTTTTGCTAAGAAAAATCCATGATCCAGCCTGAGTTTGAGTTTTTGTTTGTTTGTTTGTTTGTTTGTTTTTAAGTTTAGGGCATACACAGAAATACAAAATGAAACTAGGGACGCCCGGGTGGCTCAGTTGGTTAAGCATCCAACTCTTGATTTTGGCTCAGATCATGATCTCATGGTTTGTGGGACTGAACCCCTCATCAGTCTCTGTGCTGACTGCACAAAGCCTACTTGGGATTCTCTCTGTCTCTGCCCCTCCCCTGCACATGCACACACGCACTCTCTCTCTCCCTGTCTCTTGCACTCTCTCAAAGTAAATAAATAAACATTAGAAAACACAATGAAAATAAAAACAGCTAAAATAAAAAAGTCAGTGCATGAACAAAAAACATGGGTATGATCTTTCCTATTGTCATGACAATATGGCTTATAATAACTGAAACAAATTAGAAGACTCAAGTGTCTTTAATGGGATGATGAGGTCTTTCTGACACTTTATTTTTCATCTTCTTGGGCAGTCTTTCACCACCATTCATCTCATAGTATTGTAGTAGAGGTTATTAACTAGTTAATGAAAAATAACATAACAGCAAATCTTTAAATCTTCGTGAACAAAAGAGACCCTCAGAGTTATGTAATTGAACCTCCCAACAAATTCAGGAAATGTCTATATATTCTTCAAGCTGATCATCCAAATGCAAGTCCTAATTTTCATTCAATTTTTAGAGATCCTAACAATAAACATATTCTTCTTGGGGCGCCTGGGTGGCTCAGTCAGTTAAGCGTCTGACTTTTAATTTACACTCAAGTCATGATCTCATGATTGGTGGGATCAAAGCCCCCCATTGTGCTCTGTGCTGACAGGCAGAGCCTGCTTGGGATTCTCTCTCTCTCTCTCTCTCTCTCTCTCTCTCTCTCTCTCTCTCTCCCCGCCCCACTCTGCTTCCCTTCCCTGCTCTCTCTCTCTCTCTCTCTCTCTCTCTCAAAATAAATAAATAAACACTAAAATTTTTTTTCTTGTTGTGAATATTAAACCTGCTTCCCTATAAATCTCAACCCAGATCCCCCTCCAACCCCCTGGGGTTTCACACAGCCAGCTCCTTTCTTTCCTGATGGATAGAGATGTCCCATCTCTGCATTCAAGCCTATGAAGTACTAGGAGCAGGGACATGTTGAAATGGTCTCAGCACATCTGCTTCACAGTAAAGGGGGTGTAGTTGGTACTCGGCAAAGGTTCTGAACATGCAAGTGTATATTTTCTCTGATATTTTCTTCTCCTTCACTTCTTCCTGTGTTCCACTTCTTCAGCATGATAGTGACTTCTCTTAAAAAGCAAGATATCCAGAGTCAAACATGACACTGCAGAAGGGGAGTATCTCCAAGTGAACAAACGTTTGCAATTTTTGCCGGGAATTCTGTGTAGATGAAAAACTTTTTTGTTGAATCTTTGCCTTGATTTTCTGGGAAAGATATACTTTTAAGCTCGTTTATGCTTTCCTACTGCTCATCTTTGCTGGCTTCTGGGCTTGAGATTGATCAGCTTTGAGGGAAATCATTTGCCTAAGTTTCCCTGCTGTCAATGACTCCAATCCCTAGAGCTAAGGGCACTGACCTTACATGCGGGCCCCTCTGCTTCCCATCTTGAAACGGGTAGATCCGCAGAGCACCTAAGTGGCTCTAAAACACACCTAATGGGACTTAGCCTGTACCTCTTGCAGTTGGCTCTCCTCTGAACCTGTGCCCAGTCGTTGTGACTGAATTTTCTCTTTTTTCCCCCTGAGATGAGGTCCAAAGACCTACTTCATCCTGATTCTGTTTCTAACAGTTCCTCCTCTCATTAAGGCTTAAAACTTAAAAATTTAAAATTAAAAACTTAAAATTTTCTTGTATTTATTTTTCCTCCCCCCAGCATTTACTCTCTGTGTGACCCTGACTAAATCTACCCACCAAGTTAAGCTTCAGTTCCGCATCCTGAAAATGGGAATGACGCTGATCACTGGTTGTCAGAATTTGGGGGAAAATTAGATTCATGGACATAAAGTGCCTAGCACTTAAGATGTGTCTCCTTTCAGGCTCAGGATTGTATCTGGCCCTTATCTGTTCTCAATCTGGAGCCCAGATCTAGCTCCACACCTAGAGCCAAATTATCCTTTCATGTGGAGTGTTCACCTGTCTGAGTATGTACATGATGCCTGTTCTCATTTCTCTTCAATTCACTACCTCTGTTTTTTCCCTTCCTTATTGTCCCTTGGCTTCTCACTGGGTGTCTGTTAAGCTGATTAACTGTAACTCTTTTCTCTCTTTACTGTCTTCCAGCAGCTCAGCTGAACTTCTCTTCTTCTGCAATTGCATCACTAGGCTTGCTTCCAAGCACACCCAATGTCCCCCCACTCCTTAGCTTTGACCTTAGGAGTCTGGCCATTATACTGGGTATGTCTGCATATATCAGATTTGATACTTAGAAAGACATTGCCATCTTCTCCCTACATAAATGTTCACAGCCATTTGGGGCGACCCTCTCAGCTTCCTGGGCCCACGTGCTGAGAGCAAGAAGCTATGACCGCCTGTTCCACAATCCGCTGCTTGCTCGGCCTTGGCTGACACTCTCGAGACTGGAAGACGCGGAACATGCCGTCATTCACTTGCGATGTTACCAGGTACCTCTCCACAGTGAAAGGCACTAACTACTTCTACCTAAAACATTCTGGACTGTAATGGCAATACACTCTTTACCCTTGTGGAGTATTTTTTGCAATGACGATGGAAACGGGTCTTTTCCCAATCCCAATTTTAGATGGTTTTGCGTTCTTTTATGAGATGGTCATTCAGGT